CCTTGATTTAAAGAAACTTCATGGTTGGTTCGCGGCGTCAAATAAAACCCTTTTTTCATGATAAAATGAGGTACCATTCTGATTTTTGATTTCTATGATGAGGATGGTAACATATTGAGTATGTTTGTGACTTTGACCAGAGTTCGGCAAATTTATAATAAGCGCTCATTAAACCCAAATGGGAGGTTAGCATTGTCCATGTCGTTCACCTCGTGGGGCCAATTGGGCCCTTGTCCTCCTGGGTCTAAGGCAATTCATCTTAATCGGGCTATCGCTCACCTACCATGTGAGCACTATGGGCTTCACGGGGCCCTAGGTCAATGTACTCTTCCAGTTAGAATTCATTGTGAAATTAGCATTACTTTTATTTAGATGAAAATTAAATTGACTTTTGCAACACTTAACTACCCCCCCCCTAAAAATCCATTTTTAAACTTCGCTAAATAAATTGTTTTTTAAACATGTATTTCTCATTGGTAACACATGGCATGTTAGAATTGTGCAGTCTTGTCTCTCTTTTTCTATGATCGCGATGTCTTTTCGTGTTTTGATGTACCAATTATATAAAATTCTTGGACTGGATTGCGTAAATGCAGCTGCAGATTATCGGAGTTCGGATTCTGGGGAAGGCGATTGTGCAAATAGTGACGACTTCATATTTCTATATGAAGACTTTGAAGGCGACCGGATGCTTGTTGGAGATGTCCCATGGGAGTAAGTATTGTTTTTCGTACATCCTTCTGCACCATGAATTAACATCGCAAGAAGATATTGTTAATTGTTGTTTTTTGGAATACTTTTAGTTTTCACTAATATTCTGAAAAGTAAAAGGACAACCATCTCCGTATCATAGGTGCCCTAATAGTGTGCGATCAAAACAAACAGGAGGCATAACCGACTACATATTATTATTGCTTGTTTTATGGTGAATTTTGTATAGAAATCAGAACAGAAATATGAAGAGCACTCACCCCACAAAATTTTCCTGAATGTGCAACTTTATAAAGTTGCTAAAGAAACTAAAGCAATTATGCATTTGTCGTTTCTTCCAGGTTGTTTCTTGCGACGGCCAAAAAATTATGCATTTCTCGTCATCCAACATCAAGAGATACCAAAGGTACATTTAGAAGAAGTCATTTCTTATATATTGAAATGTTCAATGTGAGCATGCCCATGAGATTGTTTGTTGCTACTAATCAATTTTAGGTCATGACGAAGCAGCAAAATTAGACGCAAGTGTGAAGATAGCTACAAATAACTGAAGCCCCCCCTCCCCCGTGGAAGCAACTTGATTTGAGGCCCTTTCTGGATAATGAAAAAGAAGACTTCTCCCAACTCGTCATCTGGGAATAGACACACTAAACTTGATCGGTGGCATATACATGCACATTGTATATGCACATCTCTCGATCCGAGTGTAGCACATGTGTATGGTATTGTTGTATGCCTATGCTAGTTAGATGTGAACATCTTGTTGTGGTGTATCAATATCAGCACCTCTATGATGGTTGTGCATATAGTTTTGGAACGTGTAAGAATTAATGTTGGAATGCATGTGATGAATAATGTTTCAGCTACCTATTGCTCATCGGGTCATCAAACTCGATACAATTTGCATAACCACATTTAATCTTATGGCGTTACCTTTTATCCTTTTCTATTTGGCGTTTTCATGGCATGAACATCAAATTTTCACCTAAAGGGACTGAGTCATTTTACACTATATTCATCGAGATGGTTATACCCCCCCCCCTATTGCACACACTTAGTTGTACCATCAAAGGATGTACGTGACATTAGTTGCATTTAAATTGTCTATCTCCTTACATCCCCACAATCCATATAAAACCTATCACTACTAGGGAAAACCCTAGCAGTAGAACTAGTTTTGTGCTCACTAGTAGTGCGGGTAGGCACGCTACTAATAAGGCGCTACAGCTATTGCTTAGCAGTAACGCGTGCCGGCGCGCGCTACTGCTAGGACAAATAGCTGTAGCGTTTGTTCACCCCCACGCTACTGCTAATAAAACTAGTGGCAGCGCGTTTTCTCTCCATCGCTACTAGTATTCATTTTTTATTATTTTATTTTTAATGTATTTATGCGGTTTTCTCTTCATCGTACAAATATTGGTACAATACCAGTTATGAGGTTTACATCATTATGTCCAGTGTGTCAAATGAAGGTGTATTAGGTTCAAGTGGAGGCAATATGTGGTGCATGTCAAAAGTATACTACTAATCCAAACTTGATCTGATGTGATCAAGTTTGGATTAGTAGTATACTTTTGACATGCACCACATGTTGCCGCCACTTGAATCTAATCCACTAGCACAAGCTATTTAATCATCATCATAGTAATTACCACCAACATTATTTATTTAATCACCACTAACACTAGCAAATAATAATCATCATAGTCATTACCACCAACACTAGCTATTTTATCATCATAGTAATAGTGTAGCACATCATCATCCTCAAATTCATTTCTAGCTAGCTAATCACTCTTGCTGCTCTCTCTTAGGTAAAATAACATAAAACATGTGTAGCTCTCCTCCTTGATCAAGTTGGAGCATGCAGATGAACCTGTCTCCTAATCGTAGGATGCGCTTCTGTTTGCTGCCCCCTAGTACTTCTCTGCGTCCCCCCCATCACATATTTGGTCCAGTCTTGCACTATTAAGCATTCGTCGCTAATCTTGAATGCACTACAGTAATCTGTAGGATATCTTGGCCGTAAGCTAATAATACTCATGATACCTTTAGTCTCGATCCCATAAGGCACAACATTCATCGGGACTCCCTGTTGAAGAACATCATATGATAACATACTTAGCAATGAAGTTTAGCTTCAAAAATAATGTATGGAAAAGATGCACTGAGGACAAATATTAAAAATCTTACCATCCTTCCTAAATAGATGTGACCGTAGTTCAGTACGAACACTATTAGCGTTTTTAGTACTAACATTTCTAAATGCAGGAAGAAAATTTGTCTTGACAGTATCAAGATCCGCAAGCCATGCAACATAATGACTGAGCTCCTCGCAGTTGAGTTCAGCCCCGGCACAGTATACGGTCCTGTCTACCAAGCGCTGGACATGTTTGCTTGCACCGAAATAAGCTATTAATAGAAATTAATTGTCAACTATTTTTGAATAAACAATATCAAAGACATAAATATGGTTGAGAAACTCACATTTTGGTATAACTGGAGGCGTCTGCACATCGACCCAGATATCGGTATTACCTTCAATATCATCTTCCGGACGAATATCAAAAGTGATAACCATATCAGGCTCAAATGCATAAGTCTTGCATAGTGCTCGACATGTTTTGCATCCAAAATAGGTGTAGTCATCTGAATTGTATAATTTTGTGTGGAAAATATAACCATGCTCGATCTTCAAGTAAAATTTCTTTACCTCCATAGTACGACTGCAACCTATCTTATCCAATACAAAAACTCTTGCATGGCAGGGGATACGCTAGTAGAATTGTAAAAACAAATTATAAGTTGAAGCAAATGAAGCATATGTCATGCTTAATTATGAAAAAAGACTTGTCGTTGTGACTTACTGTATCCACTTCGAAGTTCTTGTCCAGCTTGATGCTGAAGCGCCTATCATCATCTAGGAAGATTCCGTCGCACAGGCCGCGCTCGCCTTCGCAGTATTTGCAAATACCGAAATCCTTTTCGTCGTCAGACATTTCCTATGTTCATTGTTAAAACATTAATTGAAAATCGATCTAAGACAACTACCAGGATACTCAACACACAAATCCGGGGCACTCGATATTTCCTACATATTCTGGCACAAGTCATGCCAAAATTCACGGAAAAATACGGCATGACCTTTGCTCAAATAGAACATATCGAGCGCCTGAAATTTGCCGGAATGGAAATGAATCAACACTCCGGCAAAACATAGGCCACTCGGAGGTGTAACCTGCAAACATGACCGGCCACTTGGGCAAGCACATATCATATTTGAGCAACACAAGATATACATTTCAAAATATCTTATAGGACTCAAATTAGCATGCATTGAATAAGCAAAATTAAATCATCTCATGCGTGTTCGTACATCGTCGAATATTATCACTAATACATCCCGAATAGTGTCATACATATAACATCACTAATACAACTAAAACCCTAGCACACGACGGGTATCGGCACGGCGGTGGACACCCACAGAGAAGGAACCATCACGGGATCATAGCTCCAGTGAGATCCCTGGAGAACCTGCCAGGTATTGGAGAACCTGTGCTCCAACGCAAACAAGTAGCGACGGACGTGCACGTCCTCCTCACTGACACGGTGACGCACCACCTCCGCTGGGTCCTCGAGCCTCTGGACCATCACTGGCCCACGCGACCGCCACCAAAGAAGGTTCAGGTCAACGACATGCTGGCTCCTCACCAACCTGCCCCCCGGTAGGTAGCGCCTCCCAGTACCACCCCGGCGGAGTCCAGTCCCGGACATGGCCCATCTGGTCAAGCAGGTGTCGTCCTCCACCGACTCGACGACGAGGATGCGGGATAGGCATCGTCCACGTCGATGCAGGAAAAATTGCTTTAACTAGAAAAATAGCAACAAGTTCTTACTAACATATTCTATTAATTCAATTAGTTCTTACTGAAAATAAACTTACTATAAATAAAAATAAACTAGTACCTAGCTAATTAGTACCTAGTTCTTACTAACTAATTAGTACCTAGGAACTACTGCTAAGGGTTCATACTAACTAACTAACTAACACTAAATTAACTAACTAACACTAAAAATAGCCTAGGGTTCATACTAACTAGCACTAAATAGCTAGGGTTCATACTAAGCAAATTAACAAGAGGGATCAGAAGGGGAGAGTGCTTACTGAGGGCGGGGAGAGAGGTGGGGTCGGGGGAGACGGCGGCACCGAGGCGCG